GAGAGGAGAGGAGAGGAGAGGAGAGGAGAGGAGAGGTTTCTTCCTACATTCACGCTTGTATTTGTAAAGGCGATGCCTCAGCATTGCGTTTTCATTTGTCCGGTGCTCGTAGCAGTAACGGTTGGATTCTTTAATCAGGTTTCGGGCTTCAGAAGGTTTATATCATAGATGAGTAGAAGTGTGGACCGGTCCAAAGCTGCTCACGTCTGTATTCATATGCACCTGACGATGCTTGTTGCCATGGATACGGTTCAATCAATGCAGGTCATGCCTCTGTGTGGCATTTCTTCAAGTCGGCCGGACTGCGAAAACGTTTTGCTACAGCAGATTTTAACTGGGTTGTGTCCGCACGCTGGAAGTTTGCCGCTTCATTATCTCTGTAAACCTCAGGAGGAGCCTCCAAATGTACAGAGCACACAGACCTGCATTGATAATAAGGGCTTCTCCTCCTCTATCTGGACCTGCAGAGTCCAGAGTGAATACCTGTTCCATGCATTTTGTTTCAAAGTCACAGTATTTAAAATATGTTGTTGTTTTTTTTTTTGCAGGGGGGGCTAAGCAACTCCCCACCTTGCTGCAACAACTAAATTTGAATAATTTTTCAATTCTGTTTTCATAATCGATTTTGTAATATGGTCTGAAATTTTCCTCCCGTCATCAAACTTCTAAGCATGTTTAGGAGAACATTATTCTAATCTGCACCAGCTTCTGTGTGGAAACTCCATGTTGGAAGATTTTCATTTGTGTTGAAATTATAGTTTTTAGTTTTTTAGCAGTCGGCATTATTGGCAAGCAATGTGTCCCAGTAGAGACAATAGATCCTGCATCTTACCTACGCATTCTGAAAATCCATTTATTTTTTTAAATATATACTTTTGGGGCTTTTTTGCCTTTATTTAGAGCAGTAGAGATAGACAGGAAAGGGGGGAGGCCTGCAGCAAAGGGTCGTGAGCGGGAGTCGAACCCACGGCCGCTGCATCTGGGAGCTATAGCCCCTGTTCATGGGTCGCTCGCTCCGCTAGGTGAGCTATTGGGCCGCCCCCTGAAAACCCATTTCTAGCCTTCAAAGCATAAAGAATCCAAATAACTATTTTATAGCTGGACTTCTCAATATTTTAAACAAAAAACTGGCTAAACTCACCACATGCAATGCAACAAGGTAACCTTGTAGTGATGACTTAACAGGTCAATGAAACTGCATAAAGCCCACTCAGTACCAAATGGCAGGCCAAAACAAGGCTAGCTATAGAGCCCAATAAGTTAGTGGAGACCAAAACAGAGCTAAATATTAGACTTTTTAGGTGGATAAAAACCCGACTCAAGTGTCATCCCTGCTAGATGTGTAAACCAGCAGTAGTTAATACACTGGATTTTCAGATTTGAAAGGCATCATCGGTTAAATGTTGTGGAATTTGACCCCCAAGTGGCCAAAAATGAGATGAATGCCGCTTCAACCTTTCCACCATAAAATAGTTTTACATGCTTTATTGAGACAGACTCTTAGTTTTTACTCGTCCGGCGTGGCCGCACCGTCATCTCTTCTCGTTACATTAGCGTGTCTCGAGCCTTTTCATGTTGGATTGTGCTGCATCAGCTGCCGTGGACGTGAAGCAGAAAGAGGGAGCCTCGGATTCAGAGCTGCTCAGCTGGAGCTTAGCTGTTCCCATCAGTCTGAATGTCAGGACGGAGCAGAGCAGCAGGAGGGACAGAGAGAGACAGAGAGGGAGAGAGAGAGAGCCTGTGTGATGATACTTATGCCAAAATACCAAATGTCCTCAAGGTTAGTGAGATGAACACGGAAATCTCTCAACCTGAGAACATTTTGTCTGCTTTCACCTCTTCAAAGGCCGTTTTAGGGTGAAAGGAACGACTCAGCCGTGTACTGTAAGTGCATTAAACCTTACATTTTGGGATCTATTGAACGGGGTATTTTTTAGTTCCTATAAAGTACAGACCGCTGCTATAAATGATGTTCCCTGAAAATCAAATTTCAACGTATTGTGTGTTAGAAAATGTATTTACCCCTACAAAACTTAAAAATGCAGAGATATTTTACTTCAAAAGCCACTACTGAAGGACATCGTGAACCACTTTCTAATAATATATGGCCTTTTTTGAGTAGTGGATGGTGGATTTTTCTTTCAAAGCTTTGACGTTGTTTGATCAGAATGGATAAAATGAGTCCATGTTTGAGCCATAACCACGTCTGTATGACTGTATGTGTCCACGTTAATTACCAAAGGAGGCTGTAGTTTGTCTTCTCTCCACTAGAGGGAGGAGGAGACTTAGGTTGGCTGATAAGAGAGACTAAATTTCACTGTGTAACTGGAAGTGTGTGTGTGTTAAAGACGAGCATCATTACCTTTGTCAGTATTGATCCTGACAAAACTCTGAGAACGCAGTCGAGCAAAATTCTGTACATTCTGTCAATATTGTTCAGTTCACCTGTGATTTTATTTTTATTTTTTAATTAATCTGCTGTCAAAGCAACACGTTTAACCTGCTTTTACAGTCTGTACAGCAAACCTGTTTATAATTTATTGTTTATTTTTTTTGTAATCGCGTTTTTAATCCTGTCGATGTATTAACTTATTTAGCGCTGCCGGGGTTACATGACGTCGAGGCGAAGCATGAAGTCTTTGAAGTGTTGCCAAAGTTGTGATGTTAAAAGTCGCTCGCTCACACATGTATTCACGCAGCAGATGGGAGTTTCTGCAGTGCAGCCGCAGTATCTGTCAGGGCAGCTGTGAACTGACTGTGTGGCTTCAATAAAGCTGAACTGAAACCTGTTATGCGTCCTTGCATCATTTGACACGAGGACAGAATCCTACAAAGCAACGAGGTGACACAGATGTTAGCCGTAGACTTCACCGAGAAAAACCAAACCAGAACCGCAAGAATTCAAATTGGAGAAAGATATTAGGTCACTATCCTTTATCAGTGTGAGTTTCCAAAGCTTTTTTTTTTTTTTTTTGCGATGCTTCTTAATTTTACCCTCATTTGTGTTGCAGTGTGCTTCACAGATTTGTGGGTCAGCGCTGCAGTCCTAGAAAGCCCCAGGCTGCCTGCTTTTTTTTCCCCTCTTACAAGTATCAAACACCAGAACACCTGGGTGTAAACGAGTGATTTCCATTTATCAGTCAGTCTACAGTGGTGGGCTTTATGCTTGCTGCCTGAGGGTAAACGCTGGAACTCACTGTATTGGACATGGACATGATTTAAAGCTCTGGTGAGGGCCTGTTTACTGTAGTATGCCTACAGTCATGCTCATCACTATTTCCCATATTCCAGAAAGGAAATATGACTTACATAATGAAGCTAAAAAAAAATATTCATACCTGTCACAAATATGGACTTGTAGTGATTTCTTTTTGTCTTGACATGCTGACAGGTACGGAGCCCGTCTGGTGACATCGATAAGAAATAAAAAATAACTCGGAATGACATTGTGGCCTCGCATTACTAATATGAAGAAACAAGAGAAGTTGTGGAGCAAATTTCACAGTGCGGTCATACCTGCTGTTGATTAAGGATAACCGGCATACTTGCATGAAACATGGAGCATTTTGATTTCATTCAACTACACCGATATCCTGCGATCTGTTGCGATGAAACACTGTGATAATTTTGTTGTTCCCATGCATTAATATCTCGTGGCCACGATTTGCTAATGCATGGGAACGAGTTATTTTTATTTCTCATCGATGTCACCAGACGGGCTCCGTAGACAGGCCACAGTGCAAAGCAGAATCTAAAAGGAGTTCCACACTGAAAACGTTCGAAAGGTGTGGTATGAAGCCAGAACTGACCCCTGCGCTGAAGACTCCGAGGATCACCACCAAGACCTTCCTGATGAATGTGAGCAATTCTGGCAACAGCTTCTCAAATAGACACTCCATGGACACCAAACAAGGGAGACTCCACGTCTCTGAGGCAGACGGAGATGAAAGCTGCTGCTCATCAGCTCTGTGCTCTGATGAGACGACGGTGGAGTTGTTTGGACACGGAGACGAGGCTGTAGTTTGGTTCAACCCAAAGAACATCGTCCGCACGGTCAAACATGGTGGAGGAAATGTGATGTGTGGATCAGGCAGCTTTGTCAGCATCATGAGAAGCAAGGGGGAGGCATTAAGAACGTGGAGGAAAACGAACAGTCTGCGGAAAAACGTGGCCTCAGGCAGCGTTAGTCCTCCGAGCAAGACAATGATCTTCAACATACAGCCCAAAAAAACCCCCAAAAAACAATATGAACAAGTCCACACCCGAATCCCACCAAGAATCTGTTCAAAAGGTCAAAAGGGCTTTATTGTCATTTCAACCACATCCAGCTGTACAACACAGTGAAATGAGAGCATTTCCCAGATCCAGAGCTCAGGTGGTGGAACAAAGAATGCAGTGCAAAAAAGATCAGATAAAAATAGAAATATGGAAACAGGTAGTGCAATATATAGAACAGAGTGCAAACATGACAATAACAACACAATGGAGGTAGTGTGTGTGAATGTATGTTTTGTTTGTGTGTTAGTGGACAAAATACACCTTTTCCACCGAGCTGGTTCAAGTGCTAGTTTGGAGCCAGAGCCTGACTTCATCCCAGTTCTTTGTGTTTCCACCACCTAAGCACCGGCTCCAGGC